AGCTTGGAAAGCTGCAATGTAAATATTTTCCAAATGACCTGCTGTGCAAGGAAAGACTNAACAACAACAACAACAACAACAACAACAACAACAACAAGACTTGGATTACAATTCAGTCAGCCCCTGAAGGGATGCTGGAAGCCATGAAAATGTGGATGAAATGAAACACTCTTCAAAAAGATTGCACAGCAAGAACTCTTAGCCTCCTTGGACTTGCGTCATTGGTTGAAAGAGTTGATTGCTCGCCGAGGTCACTGTAGGTTGAACCAGAATCTTTCTGGCACAAAATAGTGGTTGGTTTTGCCAGCTCATTGTAGGCTGGCTCTTTAATGTGTCTTTGGTTTACTCAGCAGAATGAACTTGAGTAGGGACAGACTGCTGAGCCACAAAACTGTTGATTGAACGAAGATGACTGTTGGCTGCTCTTCTCCCCAAGTTTCAGCACAGTTCAGAGTTTTCCAGCTGGTGCTAGTGTGTCGAAGTAAAAACTCTGTAAGATGCACTTAAACAAAGGTTGCTAAGCTGGCATGGAAGCAAGCTGTCATTTCCCTGAACATGTGAGAGCAGTGTTTCTCAACCTTGGCAGCTTGAAGATGGGTGGGCTTCAACTCCAAGAATTCCGAGAGTTGAAGTCCACACATCTTCAAATCTCAAAAGTGGAGAAACACTGGATTAGAGAAATGCTTAAGGAGTTGGCTGAGAAACCTAGACTGATAGAGTCCATATTGGTGGATTCTAGAGAAGCAGTCCAATCCCCTATCTGCAATTGGAAAGAAAGGAAGCCAATCAAGAATTATAGGATGCTGGATAGAATTCAAGACACTTCTTCACCACTGTCAATTTCCTGTTTTATGCCTGCCAATATTGGCAGCCTTTTGCCATTGAAGTGAATAATAAGGGTACTTTTAAATTGTGGGTTTGTAGGAGAATGGATGAACTCTGTGGGTTATTATCAGTGCCAGACAAAACATCCATCCTGTTAAAAGCCCATAATTTGGAGATCTCCTTTGTTATAGTTTTTGGGACAAATGTTTCCTAGTTTAGCAGGCAAGAACATACAAGATGGTTAAAAGCAGTATCTTTTTCTAGTTTGTCAATTTGAAGGTTTTTGGACTTCAGCTTAGCATTACCAAGTCTAGATTCTTTCAAAAAGAACTCGCAGTTCCATTCAGCCTGTAGGATGGAGTCTACTCATTTTAGAAGTCCAACTGTATCTCTCTGTTGCAAAATAGTTTTGCAGACCTTAAGTCCTCCTAGAATCATAAGGGCCTAAGAGATCTTCCTGCTCAAGCAGGAGATCCTGGCCTACAGCATTCTGGACAAATGACTGTCCAATCTATTTTTGAAAACCTCCAGTGATGGAGCAATTGTAGGTTGCTCCCACAACTCCAGGAGGCAAGTCGTTCCATTGATCAATTGTCCTAACACTACCAAGAAATTTCTCCTTAATTCTGGTTGCATCTCTCCTTGATAAATTTTCATCCTATGCTTCTTGTCCTACCCTCACATGCTTTAGGTCAACCCCCTCTTCTCTGTGAGTGGCCCTCAAGGATAGATAGGTTAGAACAGAATAAAATTCTTTATTGGCCAAGTATGATTGGACACCCAAGGAATTTGTCTTTGGTGCATANCTAGCTTAACAACTGCAGAGATTCACTTACTAACTGTAAGGCAAGAAAGGTCGTAAAATTGGGCACAATTCATTTAACAAATGTCTCGCTCAGCGACAGAAAATTTGGGCTCAACTGAGGCCGTATGTTGAGGATTGCCTATTATTTGAGATTTGATTATTTGATTCATCCATGGAAAAGGTATCTGGATAGCATCACCGACATATGAACAAATTCCTCCGTTCCCTCCAGTTTTTATAACAGCTGCACCAGCCCTGATGTTTTAGCCATCTTTCGCTCCCAATCCTGGTGAAATTAGCTCTGAATTGTTTTGAGCAAGAAGAAGAAGAGGAATGAGCTGCATGGGAAAATAAGACATTGTTGTAATAATCCCGTCCTATTTCAGGAAATCCTCTTTGGGAATATCAAACATCAGAAAGTATTGAATTCATGTTTTATTTTTCCAAAAGGGTGGGGGGGGTGTGTGTAATCAAAGCAAAAGATCCCAATCTGAAATCTCTGGAAAGGTGCTCTTGTATCCTATTTCTGGAGCCCTTCTAGTAAAAGATGGGTAGGAAGCAGATTCTATTTGTGGAGAAATCCTGAGAGAATCAATCAATCAGAATTGAGCTGGAAGGGACCTTGGAGGTCTTCTAGTCCAGCCCCCTGTTCAAGCAGGAGACTCTATATCATTTCAGACAAATCTCTTTGTTCAGTCTCTTCTTAAAAGCCTTCAGTGATGGCTTTTGATGACCCACAACTTCTGAAGGCAAGCTGTTCCACTGGTTAATTGTTCTCACTATTAGCAAGTTTCTCCTTAATTCCAGGTTGCTTCTCTCCTTGATTAATTTCCATCTATTGTTTTTTGTCTTCTTCTGGTGGTTTGGAAAATAAGTTGCCCCCCTCTTCTTTGTGGCAGCCCCTTAAATAATGGAATATTGCTTTCATGTCACCCCCTGTGTTGCAGCCTGCCAGCTGCCAGCAAAGGTGGCAGCAGATTCAGACAGTGAGGAGGTTGGGGAGGAACATGGGCCGGTCCTGGAGTCTGGGGAAGGCTCTGATGAGGGCTCTGTGTTGGAGGCAGAGAGGGGGCCAGAGCCATATGCCAGTTATCAGCTGCCTTCAGAGTCAGACATCAGTAAGGCAGACAAACAGCTGGAGCCTGTTCCCAGTGGGCGCATGCACAGAGTTGCCAGACAAAGGGAACAGCTAAAGAACAGGGGTCAACTTGGGAGTAAGTCCACAGTTGGACAATGAATGGCCATTCTGAGAGGAAATAAAAGAGGAACAAAAGGGGAGTGGAGTTTGCAGGAGACAATTAGTTCGCTTAATTGGTTCGTGACTCTCCAAGACTCCTTGCCAAGTTTTACAGATATCGGCCTGGCATCTCTCCAAGCCAGAGAAGGTCTGTGGCTGTAAATCCTCCCCTGAAAGACTTTGCTGGATGTGAATGAGCAGAATTCACAGTCAATTAATAAAAGGACTTTTTGTCAGGACAAGGAGTTTGCTTCATGCTCTTGGGAAGCCTCGGTCACAACACCCTAGTCCTTTTCTCTAGACTAGCCATACCCAATTCCTCCAAGAAGGGTTCTTTTCGGTCAAAGCAATACAGGCAAATTAACTAGCATCAATTAACATTTTTATGAACTGTACAGCCTTGAGAACATTATATCCTCCTTGAATAGAGCCGGACAGCCTAAAGACAATTAATAGCATTCCTTGCACTTCCCACTTATTTTAGCCTTTTGAGTCTGAAGACAGAGAGGTCTTTGTAAGTGGCTCAGAGGAGCAGTTTTCCCAGAATTCCCCCTTTTTTTTAAAAGCAGCTCATTTCAGGAAGGGATTACATGACCTCAACCACAAGAGCTCCAGGCACAAAGCACCAAGGCATTATTTAAGTGAGGTTTACGAGCCTTTCACTGAATAAAGGGGTCTGGGTATTCCTGAATGCACATCTGTTGAGGCACTGGGCTTCCAGCTGTTAACAAGCTATTTCATTTTTCAATAGAAACATGTGTAATGTCTTCTCCTATTATATTGTGGCTGCCATATGCTGCTTTAGATCAAGAAGGCCCACCAACTGGATCATCCCCAATCAGCTTCTTTATTTATTTTTATTTTATTTAGTTAGTTAGTCAAACATGAACGAGATGATAGGACTGAGTATAAACATGGACATGAAGAAGGAAATGAGTATAAATAAATGGGGACAGTAGGACAGGGACAGTAGGCACACTGGTGCGCTTATGCACGCCCCCTTTAAGGATCTCTTAGGAATGAGGTGAGGTCCACAATAGACAGTTTGAGGTTGAAGCTTTGAGGGTTTGAGGATGTAGCAATGGAGTCGGGTAGAGCATTCCACTCTGTTGCTGAAGTCGTGTTTTCTGCCATCGAATTTGGAGCTGTTTATATTGAGTTTGTATCTATTGTTTGCCTGTGTGTTATTGCGGCTGAAACTGAAGTGGTCATTGGCAGGTAGGACGTTGTAGCAGACAATTTTGTGTCCTATGCTTAGATCAAACCGCAGGTAGCGTAGTTCCAGGTTGTCCAAAATTTCAAGCCTGGTGGCATTAGGGATTCTATTGTGAGCAGAGGAGTGGAATTCTCCTCTCATGAAATACCTCTGAACCTGAACTTCAGTCATATTCATGTCCGATATACAGTGTGGATTCCAGCCAGACGAGCTGTATTCGAGAATTGGTCTAGCAAAGGTTTTGTATGCCCCAGTTTGCAGTACAATGTTGCGGGAGAAGAAGCTTCGCAAAATTAGGTTAACAACTCTTAATGCCTTTTTGGCAATGCTGTTACAGTGAACTCTGGGGTTTAGATTACGTTTCTGGAGATTCTCAGTCATTCAGGTCATGGTTGTCCCAAAGATGCTTTTTCCAAAAGGCAACTGGACTTCCTTGTTTTTCCCCCCCTTGAAGACATTTTGCTTTTCATCCAAGAAGCTTCTTCAGTTCAGAATATTTCTCATTCTGTAACGTACACTTGGAACAACTCCAATACCTAAACTATATGCGCTCTTAAGCTAGCAGCTGGTTAGATTATCTGTCTCAAAATCTCTTTTCCAGAGCTTTGGGTCTGCCAACATCGAAGAATTGTGTTTTGTTTTTGTTATATTATTCAAAAGTATTTTGTTATATTATATTTAAAAAAGATTAAGAATCTGCATCTACAGATCATAGGCACAGTGTTTGTTAACCTATCTGCTCCTTCCTTCCTTCCTTCCTTCCTCTTTCTCTCTCTCTCTTTCTTCCTCTCTTCTTCTCTCTCTTCCTTCCTCCCTTTCTTTCTCTCTCTCCCACATTTGCTCTCTCTCTCTTCCTTCTTCTCTTCCTCTCTCTCTTCCTTTCTCCCTCCCTCTCTCCCTCTCCTCTCTTCTTTTAGCATGGGTATGAGTCATGATGACGATCACTTGCCCTGCGCTGGACGATCTCACATCATGTCTGGAGAATGGGTGAAGGGCAGAAACCCCAGTGACCTATCCTGGTCTTCCTGCAGCCGAGATGACCTTGAAAAGTTTTTAAAGTAAGAATACTTGCCAACTGCGAAACATTTGAATCATAATCCATAGTCTTTTATCTTCTCAGTTGAAATGAGGAACAATTCTCAGTGACGGGTACTGAAGTCAAACTGGATCTGCTTTACGCATCCCGGCCTTCAGAAAAATTATTGGCAGGAGAACAGAAGCTTTTATGATGGCGAAATGTCAGCTTGACAACTTTTTGACAACTTCTTGAAAAGTATCCTGGAGTTGCTGTCATTTTTTTTTACTTCAAATTCTGCCCCCGTTTTGTGACAATAGAAATATGTTAGGATGGTTCTGAATGGCTCTTTCAGTTGGGGAATAAGTATCTGGTTCTGTGTTTTAGCAAGTGTTGGCAAAAATAACAGAAACCTGAGATTCTCCGCTGATCTCCCTCAATCTTTGAGCCAACCTGAGCTCAGTGAAGTATCTACCTCCCCTCTGTACTGTTTAGTAAGACTTATCTTGCATTATCATGTCCCACCATCCAGCATTTCTGCACCTTGTACCATTGCCAACCCAGGCCCTGAATAGAATGAAGAAATGAAGAACGTGATTTTGCTTTTTGATGTGATAGCTGGAGAAGGTGTGATTAGACATTGTGTTTCAAGGATGTGCAGGAGATGGAGGAGGTTGAGTGGCAATTACCACCATTTTCAATTTCATTCCTAAAGTCACTGCCTGGTTCTAGCCAACCTTTAGAGCTGATGTGATATTTGTTCACCAGAATCTGCTGATAAGCAATAGAGCAGATTTCCCCTGTTATAATTTAAGATCATCATCAAGCAGGAATTTAATTTCAGGCGTACCTCTTAAAATTACATTCAGTATCTCTGGTATTTTCCACAGAAGTCTTTGGTGTTTTGAAGTGGGCTGGTGTTTATTGATGCACTAGTGCTTTTCACCACCATCTTCTTTTAATGACTCCATAATCCCTTGAGGAGTAGAGTCTGGGCAACTGAATGGAGCTTATTGGCCGGATGCTATTCCTGTTGCCAATGCGGAGTTTTGTTCAGCAGATATATTCTCAGTGTGCCCAGAGAGAGTAATGTCTGCCTCTACCTAGGATCGAACCCACAGTTTCTTAATTGTGAGGCGAGAGCTCCACCTCTAGTGCTCATGTACTAGTGCTTTTAACGTTGGCTGTAAAATTTACTATATAATGTAAGACACGTTTAGCATTCTTGGTGGGCCCGAATGGTATTTTCTGAATTTGAAGAACCTTAAGAAATAATATAATTCATTTGCAGATTGTGTGTTAGAACAGAGGTGGCCAAGCACATCTACATGTCTTTTGATTCCCCAGGTCAAAAGTAAGCAACTGTTTGCTGGTGACAGACCCACGTAGTCGCTATGCTGTCCGCCTGCCTTATAAACTCCCAGGAATGCATTATAGCGCAGATGAGCAATGCCAGATCCTCTTTGGAACCAATGCAACTTTCTGTAAGAATATGGAGGTAATATGGATCATAAAAGAACAGATAACAAACTTTTGGTAAAATGGTAACATTATTCTGGGACTATACAACAGAGGTTTCTTCCTGGGGCAAACACATGGTAGGAAACACCTCCTTTTGCTTTGGAGACTATTTTTTTTTTGCAAGGTATAAAAATTAGAAATATTTCATTGTTTTTAATGTCACACTCTCCTTGTTTTTTAAAAAAACTGCTGTGCAATAGGTCAGAATGTAAAGCACAATGTATTTAATTGCTTAACCTGCAGAGGGTGAATTACTCCATCACTGAAGCTTTATTATGGATCTTTACTGCTGCGTTACGAAGGGACACGGTGGCTCAGTGGCTAAGACACTGAACTTGTTGATCAGAAAGGTTGGCAGTTCGGCGGTTCGAATCCCTAGCGCCACGTAACAGAGTGAGCTCCCGTTACTCATCCCAGCTTCTGTCAACCTAGCAATTCGAAAGCACGTTAAACATGCAAGTAGAAAAATAGGGAGCACTTTTGGTGGGAAAAGAACAGCGTACTGTGTGCCTTTGCCATTTAGTCATGCTGGCCACATGACCATGGAGACGTCTTCGGACAGCGCTGGCTTTTCGGCTTTGAAACAGAGATGAGCACCACCCCCTAGAGTCAGGAATGACTAGCCCATATGCTTTATTATGGATCTTTACTGCTGCCAATGGATTCATAAATAATCCAATGGAGTCAAAATAGATCCTGCCTGCCTGTCTCCAAACCACCCCCAGGTTACCAAAGTGACGTTATGGGTGTATCACCACCTGCCATTTGGTTCCCGGGAGTCTTGGAAAAGTTGTGTACGCCTTGTTTAGCACAGCCATTTGTTTCAGTAGTCCCTCCATCTTCCTTATTGTAACAATTCCAGCTACTTGCAATCTGATACGAAAATAAGGTGTCCTTTCCCTACTTTCCCCTCTTGCATAAAAAGATGTGCCAAAGTAATAAAGAGGCTTGGGTTGCGTGCTTGAGTTTCAAATCCTAACCGTTCTACTTTGTTTATGTTGATCCTGGCAAGCTCCTTAAGCAACATGAAAAAAGGGAGCTTCACCTTCTTCAGAAAGAAAGCAAGTTAACTTGTGTTTCTCAGAGGTTTCTCATACCTCTTCTTAGTCTCAGCATCTCTGAAAGTATGTTTTGAAAGGTGGTCCTGGTACAAGGCACTAAAATAAAGAACTTTTCCAATGATTTTTCTAGGGAGAAACAAGTTTGTGTTCCCCAGTTGAAGCTCCTGAAGATTGGTTTCATTTTTTTAGACCTCCATGTTGGATTTTCTTATTTAAGGAATTCTTGAATGTGACTTTTGTGTATGAAATGTTTGTAAAATACCAAAGTCTTGAGGATACCTAGGCCTACAGAATTCCTTTGTTTCCCCCTAAAGGTTGGCAGCACCAAAGATAAGATGGATAGGGTAGAATAGAATAGAATAGAATAGAAAAAAAATTGCAGAATAGAATAAAGTAGAGTGGAGTGGAATGGAATGGAATGGAATAGAATGGAGTGGAGTGGAATGGAATAGAATAGAATAGAATAGAATAGAATGGAATGGAATGGAATGGAATGGAATAGAATAGAATAGAAAAGAAAAGAAAAGAAAAGATGCAGAATAGAATAAAGTAGAGTGGAGTGGAGTGGAATGGAATAGAGTGGAGTGGAGTGGAGTGGAGTGGAATGGAATAGAATAGAATAGAATAGAATAGAATAAATGCAGAATAGAATAATGTAGAGTGGAGTGGAATAGAATAGAATAGAATAAAATAGAATAGAATAGAATAGAATAGAATAGAATAGAATGTAGGGGTAGGGTAGGGTAGGGTAGGGTAGAGTAAGGTAAGATAAGGTAAGGAAAGAAAAGAAAACCTTTATTGCCACTTTTCTTTGTGCACAATGGTCCATAGAATGAAATTCTGATGCTATTTACTTTTTTAAAAAATGTTTATTAAATTTGTTTGCTGCCCATCTCACCATAAGGTGGAGAGCAAATAGAAAATATTTACTTTATAGATGTTTCATGAGTTTTCCCTTACATTGGGATGAAACATGTGCACAAATGCAAACCAATATTCATTTTACTGTAGTTAAATTTTTCAAATAAAAATCATTGCAATTAATAATCTGAGAATCAAACTCTATGGCTGATTTATTGCATATTATCTAGCAGTTTCTTCAAGGTTATATTAACCAGTTAACATGAAAACAGTTTAAACTCTCTCCCCTTCTCATCATCTGTAGAGGAATACTTTGATTTCTGAATTTGAGGATGTGCCTGGTGGTTTGATGCATTTGTTAATTTTTCCATGCAGATTTTTTTTTTTTTGAAAACATATTTGTAAAACGTAAAAAAAAAAATCAGAGAATGCTCAGTTCGGAGAGGTTTAACGAAGCTTTGTGCCTTTTTCCTTGCAATAGTGGCATCTCTAGGCAAAGTAATTTCAACTCTTCCTTTCTGCTGACAGCATTTGATGTGCGCTGGTCTCTGGTGCCTTGTGGAAGGTGATGCCTCTTGTAAAACCAAACTGGATCCTCCTTTGGATGGGACAGAATGTGGGGCTGACAAGGTAAAACTCCTGGAGAAAATCAACTCTACTTCGTAGAATCTGGTATTTGATGCATTTTAATGCAAAAAGTTTGTCCCGGTTGTCATCGTTTGGTATACTCAATGCACAAGCTAGAAATGCGCAAGCTAGAACTTGTCTTTGTCGGCTGCCTTGTGACTCACTATATTATTCCTTATGGGAAAAAATGTGTTGTGTGCTCATTGTTTTTGGTACTCGTCATGTTGCCCAGAACCAATTAATGATGAGTATTAAGGTACCACTGTATCAGAGGTGGTATTCAGCAGGTTCTGACCATTTCTGGAGAACCAGTAGTGGAAATTTTGAGTAGTTCATAGAACCAGTAAATACCACCTCTGATTGGCCATATATTCTTTGCCTCTTGAGTCCCAGCCGATTGGGAGGAAATGGAGATTTTACAGTATCCTTTCCCTGACACGCTACACCGCACCCACCAAGCCATGTCCACAGAACCAGTAGTAAAAATGTTGAATCCCACCACTGCACTGTATAATTTTTATAAAAAAAGTTTTCCCACGGACTAGAAACAATGCAATATTTCAGTTACAGGTAAGGGAAATAGAGTAATAGACAAGTGAAAAAGGAAATATGGAAAAAGAAGTAGAAAAGAAAGAAAAAACAAAAGAAGGAAGAATAATTAAATCCCTTCTGCTCTTCTTAACAGCAGCAGATATAAATACATTTATACACTTATCCTCCTCTGGATGGGACAGAATGTGGGGCTGACTAGGTAAAACTCCTGGAGAAAAATCAACTTTACTTCTGGAAATAACCCTGTTTTTACACCTCTGGACCAGATAATAAGGATGACTATCGGTACTACTGTGTTTCCCTGAAAATAAGACAGGGTCTTATTTTACTTTGACTCCCGAAATAAGGGTTTGGCCTTTTGGGAGGGAGGTCTTATTATTTTTGAGGTGCAGGAGGCAGTGAGTGTGGTCACCTCATGGCTGCTGCTGTGTTGCAATATTTTCGGGGAGGACTTATTTTGGGGATAGGGCTTATTTTAGTGCAATGTTAGATGTGATAACTAAATCTGACTGCAAGCATCGCAATTCTCAACTAGGCAAACCAAGATTTGTCTCTTTTCATTCCAGTGGTGCCGAATGGGGGAGTGTGTCAGTAAAACCCCCATCCCTGAACATATTGATGGTGATTGGAGCATCTGGAGTCAATGGAGCATGTGCAGCCGGACGTGTGAAACTGGGGCCAGATTCAGGCAACGCAAATGTGACAACCCTCCGTAAGTTGACTCATTCCACTGAGACTCTAAACCTTTAAAGCACTTAATGGAGCATTGAAAGATTTCTTCATAGGAAGCCTAGCCCATCTGCTTCTCCTAATTCAGGAGTAACTGATGTGGTGCCTCTTCAAGAAGAAGAAAGGAAGAAGAAAGGAAGAAGGAAGGAAGAAGGAAGGAAGGAAGAAGAAAGAAGGTAGTAGTGAATGAGGAGGAGGAGGAAGAGAAGGAGATGATTTTAATAGTGGACAATCATGCTATAAAGCATCCACCATTGCTTTTATTGTAAATAAATTGACAAATTTATTTACAATAAATACCAGAGTTGTTTTTAGAAAATTAAAAGAAAGCATGGTAAAGGCTGAAGCTCAGTGCTTTACTTGGAATTGTGTCTCAAGCGATAGAAAGCATTTGGAGAGTCTGGACTTAAATGGAGAATAGTCTTCTCAGTTTTCATTCCTGTCTGGTTCAGAACAGCAGCTATTTTCTGGATAAGCCAAAGCGCACCCGTCTCCATCACAGCTATTATTTGAAAGCAGTTTTGCCACTCAGTTAAATCTCTCACTCTCACTTACTCACTCTCACTCACTGGTTTTCATTAACAAAGTGTAGGCGAAGAGGAGGCAGAGCTGGGGAGGGGTGGAGTTAAACATGTCATCAGCTTAGAGTTGTTACATTGCCACAAACAATCCGAGTCCAACTCCTCTTGAATTCCATTGACCCTTATCTGGCCCCAATTTAGTATTGAATTTTAGTTGACTAGTGTTTTTTTTTAATTGATATACTAGTCAGGGGTCAGGCAAGAGATATCTCAGCCCACAGAAGGAATGGGAGAGTGGAAAGCATCTCGGAAAGAGCCCAGCATCAACAGTTCTCTGAATAGTACTGGTGGGGAAAGCTGAGAAATGCTTTCAGATTTGCAAGATTTTGTTACTGTGACCTTACTTTACTGGTAGTGTTAGAACTCATGGCTTCCTGCCTGGGCTGTCTTGAAAGGCTGACAGGCGACTTTTGGAGAGCATGTTGCAGGCACTTGGCCACATTGTGTTTGTCGGTCACAAAATATCCCCTCTCCAAAGCATTACTTTCCTAGGACTGGTAAATCTTCTCTGCATTTTAGCAGATGACCTTGGCTGATCTTGAAAAAGCTATGCAAGGTCAGATTTTATTAAGGCTTGAATGGGAGGCCACTAGTAAATCCCAAGGGTGTCAGTTGGATGGGGATGTTTAAAAAAACATCCTGAAGGAAAGTATGGAAAACCACTTCTGTATCACTGCTGTGAATAATTGGCACAGTTCGGGAAGTGTTATTGTGAGCCTCCCTTGAAAAATACTTCTGCTGTTCTACGTTCAAGCATCAGAAAAATCTCTACCGATCTCAGCTAAGACTGTTTTAAAACTTAAGTGTGTAAAACAACAGCATATTTTTTTTAAAAAACCTTGTGGGTCTAAATGTGACTTGAGGACAGATGATCAGTGGCTGTAAATCTACAATAAGGACAGTCAGTATTGCCAATCTTTAGTTTCTCATTTTTCCATTCATAAATTCCGTTTGGCCCCTTCCTTTACTAAACCGAATAGCTTAAAAGCATTTGCAAGATGTATTTTACATACTTTCTGCATGAACTTTTTTTTTTTTTGCTTGCCACTTTGGCTATTGGCAGTCCTGGTTTTCGTGAATTAATCTTTTGTTGATACAGATCTTTCGCGATGTGTGTGTATGTGTGTGTTTTAAATCACTACTGGTAAATAATATTTCAAATTTCAACATACGTTTGGAAAGATTCCGGATTGTCAGTTGCCTCAAAAATGTAACATAAGCAAGTTTGCATTAGATGTGAAACACTTCTTCTTTGTTTTCAATCAATGGTAGGTAGGATGACCGTACCTGAATGAATTTTGCTCTCTGCTGTTTTAAGTCCTGATTTATTGTCTTTATTGCCTCCCCACCCTCCCCTGTTGTAGCTGCTATTCTCATTAGTCCGCATGGATGTTTTCAGAAAGGTGTATGAAATCACCAGAAGTCAAATTCATCTCAAAGAAAATCTTTTTTTGCTTTGAATTTGTGTTTTCTTTTCTAAACAGTCCAAAAAGAAGTTATATTTACCCTGTTTCCCCGAAAATAAGATCTCCCAGATAATAAGCCCAATTGGGCTTGTGAGCGCATGCGCTAAAATAAGCCCTCCTCCGAAAATAAGCCCTCCCCGAAAATATCTCAACACAGCAGCAGCCATGAGGTGACCATGTTCACCACCTCCTGCACCTCAAGAATAATAAGACCTCCCCAAAAATAAGGCCAAGCACTTATTTCAGGGGTCAAAAGAAAATAAGACCCTGTCTTATTTTCGGGAAAACATGGTGCAAAATATCCCATCAATCTTTTGTGGATAACGGGATAGAAACCAATGCAAGCTGTCCATATTTTTCCTCCCTTAACAGGCCTGGCCCTGGAGGTAAGAACTGCCAAGGAGCAAGTGTGGAGCACACTGTGTGTGAAAACTTGCCATGTCCCAGAGGAGTGTCCACCTTCCGAGACCAACAGTGTCAATCTCAGGACCGCTCGACCAACAAGAAGAAAAGTTTATGGACAGCTGTCATTGTGGATGGTAAGTTTTAGCAGATGAAAACACTACGTTTTGCATACAGGGGTACTTTGGTACTCAACTGCTTTGAAACTCATCAAATTTGTTACTCAACGCATTTTGATGTGAAAATTAGTCCCGGTACTCATCGTTTGTTTGGTACTCAATGCAGAAGCTAGAACTTGTCAGTGTTAGCTGCCTTGTGACTCACTATATTATTCCCTATGGGAAACATTTTTGGGGGTACTCATCATTTTTGGTACTCATTGTGTCTCCCGGAACCAATTAATTATGAACCAATGTATCATTTTTATTAAAGACATTTTCCCACAGGCCAAAAACAATGCAATATTTCAGTTACCGATAAGGGAATTAGAGCAAAGTAATAGAAGGGGCAAAAACAGAAATAGAGAAAAAGAAGTAGAAAGGGTAGAAAAAAAGTAGAAAGGATAATTAAATGCCCTCCCGTCTTCTTAACAGCAGCAGTGATAAATACAATTATACTTGTCCCCTTTGTCTAAGTTACATCAATGTTTCCTTCTTTCCATAAACTACTCTTTCTAATTCTCAAATCCAGGGATAAGCTTCAAAAATTTCAGCAATGGGTTCTCTGCCTGGTCGCTGGGTGGGCATGGCCATGGTGGGCATGGCCTAGTCAGCCTCCTCATTGTCTGATTCTGTCACCAGCTCTGCTGGCCGCTGGTGGGGCATAGACTGCAACCCTCTGCCAGTGAAAATTCCATTTTCACTGGCAGAGTCCCCGTGGGCCAATCCTTTGCTGTTTCCAGGATGTCCCCGTGAGCAAGATCTAAGCACCTTGTGGGCCGGATCTGGCCAGCAGGCCTTGAGTTTGATACCCCTGGTCTGGTGTGTTATGCTTCTGGTGTTGGTCAAATTTAAAATCTGTTCCTGTTACAATAAAAGAGGATCTGTGTAGCTCTGGGTTGAACTATGGAGTCTTTGGTGCTCTCTGTGCTTGGCGGTTTTCTTGTTTCATGAGCTGGCTAGTTAACATCATCCGTTGTTTTTCTTTCAGAAAAACCTTGTGAGCTATATTGTTCTCCGTTTGGGAAAGAGTCTCCTGTGTTGGTGTCTGATCGGGTCATTGACGGTACGCCCTGCGGACCTTATGAGACCGACCTCTGTGTTCATGGCAAGTGCCAGGTGGAGTAAATTTCTTTTTGTTCTCTATTTCCTCTGAACTAACATCTAAAATGTACTGTGATCCTGAGTTTCATGAAAGACAAGGCCACGGAAAACAAATAGTATAATATTTATGAAAAAAAATGCAAGGCTGTAGCTATAGTGCCGAAGTGGCGCAGTGGTTGGAGTGCAGTACTGCAGGCTACTTCAACTGACTGAAAAGCTGCAGTTCAGCAGTTCAAATCTCACCGGCTCAAGGTTTTTTCTAGACAGGTACCCAAGGTACTACAGTGACACAGTGGTTAGACTAGGTTGACTCAGCTTTCCCTCCTTCCGAGGTGGGTCAAATGAGGACCCAGATTGTTGGGGACAAGAGTCTGACTTTGTAAACCGCTTAGAGAGGGCTGTAGAGCCCTGTGAAGTGGTATATAAGTCTAAGTGCTATTGCTACCTGCAGGCTAACTCTGCCCACTGCCAGCAGTTTGATTCTGACTGGCTCAAAGTTGACTCAGCCTTCCATCCTTCCGAGGTGGGTAAAACGAGGACCCAGATTGTTGGGGGCAAGAGGCTGACTCTGTAAACTGCTTAGAGAGGGCTGTAAAAGCACTATGAAGTGGTATATAAGTCTAAGTGCTATTGCTACCTGCAGGCTAACTCTGCCCACTGCCAGCAGTTTGATTCTGACTGGCTCAAAGTTGACTCAGCCTTCCATCCTTCCGAGGTGGGTAAAACGAGGACCCAGATTGTTGGGGGCAAGAGGCTGACTCTGTAAACTGCTTAGAGAGGGCTGTAAAAGCACTATGAAGTGGTATATAAGTCTAAGTGCTATTGCTATGGAATAAAGTAAGTAACTGTTCCCCTTACTTCTAGATGGAAAAAAAATGATACAGACATTCAGTTGCTGTGTCCTCATTGTAGGATTCCAGGAGGTTTGGCGTTTTTTGCTATGTACTAGAAATGGATGGGGTTATCTTTTGATGATTTCATTATAAGTCGGAAGACATTAAGAACCAAGCACTAAGAAACAGGATTTCCAAAAAGTTTGAGTTTTGTATTAAACATGATGGAAAAATACTTGATACTGTATACAGAAAACCTTTGCAAAATTGAGGTCTGGCTCCCATTACAATTCAGGAGGAATTTTGTGATAACAAAAGGGTAGGTCACTATGGACTATTTTCTTGGAAGGTCCCTCATTTGAACTCCAATAGTTGAATTTCTTAGAGGAGAAACATCTGGAATTCCGTGTTGATGGGAGAATCGGCCTGGTTGTATTGGCAACATCGCTCTACTAAATTCAGTGTATTGGGGTGGAGAACTAGTACAGGAAACAGAACGATGCTCCTAGTGATGGCAAGTACCTTTATCAACCTGCACATTACATTGGCATGTCCAAGACAGGAAACCCAGCCTGGTCCCACAGAAATCTCTTGCAGCTACTAGGGAAGGCAGAACATCAAACATAGGAAGTGCCTTCCCTCAGCTCAGCAGATGGCTGGTTGACCTATTGAATCCATTGGAAAAATCTCAGAGTTCATATCACTAATTAAGTTGTTTTTTTTAAAAAAAAAAAGATCCAGAAAATATCAGCGTCTTAACCCAGGATTTTCTACACATAGCAATCTTATGCTCTGCCAGTCTCCTAGTGGACATGTTTGGAATTTTTAGATTCTGTGGTGAGAACTCTGATGAAATCCCTGCGATCCGGGAAGTTGCCTATTCCTAATTTTTGCAGACATGGTAGGTTCAGCAGCCATGAAACACTCATTAAGAAAGCCGAGTGTGAAGTTAACATAGAACATAGAATAGTAGGGTTGGAAGGGTCCTTGGAGGTCTTCTAGTCCAATCCCCTGCTCAAGCTGGAGATCCTATACCATTCTGGAGAAATGGCTGCCCATCTCTTCTTGAAAACCTCCAATGATGGAACACCCACAACTTCTGAAGGCAAGCCATTCTATTGATTAATTGATCTCACTATCAGGAAATTTCTCCTTAGTTCTAAATTGGATCTCTGATGGATAATTTTTATCTATTATTCTTGTTCTGCCCCCAAGAGCTTTGGAGAATGCAGTAGTATCCAAAATTGTGGAAACCTTTTGGGAAAAGTGTACTTTTGAGGTTTGATGGCTACTAACACCCCTTTTGGGGGGCGTTTAAAGATAATCATATTCCATTGCTGAAATGGTCTGGGAATAGCCCAGATTTTTACCCAATTGAAAATCTACGGAGCCAACTAAAGAAACTTGTTAGTCAGAAGTGACCCAGCAATAAAACCCACTTAATAGAAGCAATCATTCTATCTTGGTTTCACATTATAACAACTGCAGAACTAAAAGACTTGGGAAGGCTGGGTGATGCCAGCTTCCACTTATACTTGGAGTCCATGCGCCAATGGTGCAGCCAGAGCATGCGGCAGACTATAATGGGAGACATTGTAAGGCTGTAATTCATGCTAAGGGTATTAACTGACATGGTGGTAATTTTTGTATATCTCATTTTTTTCTATGGTGATAATTTTTGTATATCTCATTTCACTTTTCTTCTTTATAACTGCTATTCTAATAGCAAATCCTTCATAAAAGTTAGTGCATTACATTCTTGATTAAATTATCTTTCCATTGATATATAATCTTATGGTACTACTCCCCCCAAAAAATGGTTGGCTACTTTTAGAAAATACTTTTCCCAAAAGGTTTCCACAATTTTGGGTCAACCCCCTCTTCTCTGTAAAACACCATCAATTACAGGAAGGCAGCTATCATATCACTTCTCTTTGATAGACATACCTAGTTCCCTCAATCATTCATCATAAGATGAAGAGGTGGTGCAGTGGTTAGAGTGCAGTTCTGCCAGCTGCTTCAGCTGACTGTTAGTTGCAGTTCGACAGTTCAAATCTCAGCAGCTCAAGGTTGACTCAGCCTTCCATTCTTCTGAGATGGGTAAAATGAGATCCCAGATTGTTTGGGGCAAGAGGCTGACTCTGTAAAACTGCTTAGAGAGGGCTGTAAAAGCACTGTGAAATGGTATATAAGTCTAAGTACTATTGCTATTGTATTGTATTGGCATCCTTCAGTCTCAAAAGACTGTGGTATCGTGCTCTGGAAAAAGGTTACAACTGGAGTGAACTCTCCAACATGAGGCCTGGGTAGATTAATATGGAGGATGGACTGTTACCAAGTTCCCCCCTCTCCACGTCACTGAAATAGTCATATGGAACAGCAGAGCCGATACGATTGGTTCCAGCTGCATCGCAGGAGTCACGAACTGCTTCTGGGACTCCAGCTCCGGATTTTGCCTGGAGGTTGACTCCTGAAGCTTTTCCAGTAGTGGATTTAGCCACAAGGCAGTGGAGGTTTGTAATCAGAGTTTCCCTTCTCCTAGAAGATGGTTCTGCCGCTTTATCTGCCGTTGGGGCGTAGAGCCCTCTTCCGCCTTCAAAACCATTGACTGTCTTCTCCTGTAACCCTGGAAAGGGGCCCTTACGAGGGGCTACCAGCCGGGCCAGCTGGACCAAGGTTTTTGAAGGAGGTGTTACTCCTCCATCACTCACCCTTTGTCCTGGCTTGTGACAGGCAGAGCCCGGCTTCCCAAATGTTGGGCCCAGGATGGCGGGTTTATACTGCTATTGCTATTACTATGTGGTTTATATCAGAACATATGGCTACTTCCTTCTACTCCCCCCAGAAGCCTACTTGGATGCTCTCAAGTAGCTCTCCTTGCCTATATTTTTTCTAGATAGGACGGCATACCTCCAAAAGAAAGCAATGTTGTTCACAATATTAAGTGGGTCTATATAAGATATTTTTTTCCTTATGTTTCATCTAAAGATATAAAGAGTGAAGAAAAAGAGTCAATTTCTGGTGTGTTGTGTGTGCTCTTGTTCTTATCTTATAAGAGGACTGCTAAGGCTGATTAGAACAGAAGGGATGAAAGAAATAGAAGTTCATACCCAAGGAAGGAAAACTCCATTCTCAAACCACTTTCAACACACTCCCCCCCAAAAAATTGACATTAGATAAGCACTTGGCAATTTTCCCATTTTCATCCACTTAGGAATAGCCAAGATACAAATAACTGTTCAAACAGTTCTGTGTGCCCAAAGAGGTTGCTGACATATTTTTTGAAAAGTATTAGCTTGTTCCACCCTATAGCAAACTGTTTTTAGAAACTGAGGACAACTTCAGAAACAATTTGCAGAATGGCTCAAGAGTAGGAGAGGAAATTTGCCTAAGGGATGGACAAACTATTGGATTTACCTAAATAACTTTTTCAATTTTGCCCAATGTTGGCAGTTTTGCTCCTATAATTTAATTTTTCTCCTCTGGCATCTCAAGGAGGCAGGAAGAGACAAATGAAATGAGTAGGATATGTCTTGAATATTCCCTCTTTTCATCAAGTGGTATTTCAGGGGTGAAAAGATATGAGTTACTGCTTGACTGTCTTCCAGCTGGGTGTGCTTATTTACACAAAACTTCTATAATTCAAATTTTGGAATATATTTCTTTTGTTGGGAACTCCAAAGAAAAATGAAGTCAAAGGACCTAGGGTCTTCCAAAGAGATCATAAGTATTCCCTAGTGTGCATTTCTGCTTAGCATTTGTTAAAGAAAAGATATCAGTTCATTCATTCATTTATTCATTCATTCATTCATTCATTCATTCATTCATTCATTCATTCATTCATACATTTTGTATGGATGCCCATCTGCAACATGACTCTTTTTGTCAGAGAAATTAATGCATTCCATGACTTTAATTCAAATGGTTACCGACCGTCTTTTAAACTGCAAAAGCTCAACTGAACACTTGTTGATTTCCATTCAAATGGAATCCCTGAACAGTTTTTAACAGAAGCAGAAAGATTTTTCCAAGTTAAGTGAATTTTTTTCAAGAAAAGTGGTCATTGAGCACTTTTTCTTTAAAAATGGTAAGGGAAGTTATTACTCAGGTTGGGCTTCCAAATGAGAGGGAATAGACCAGTCCAAATGAAGGCATTCCATCCTGACATCAGTTATCATTCAATGATAATAG